CTTCGCTTGACAACCTTGGCCAGTTTTTGAGCATTGAGCACTTTCCATTTCCGAGCAACCATGTCTGAATCTCTGTCAGTGAACGACGCCAAGAAAATGCGCTCTGTAGAGCTGCGACAAGAACTGGCGGCCCGCAATTTAGACACGACGGGGACCAAACCCAGGCTGTTGACTCGCCTGCTCGAGTCATTGGAGTTCACTGCAGTGCGCGAGGACTTGGCCACTCAGGCAGCCGAGCAGAACCTACCCCAGGCAACTGCTGCTCCGTCCCTGAGGGACATTATCCGGGAGGAGGTCCGTGCTGCCCTTGGAAATCAGGCCGCAGCTCCAGTCCCGCCGGCAGCTCACGCAGCGGCACCCCCACCGCCAGCTCACACAGCGGCACTCCCACGGCAAGCACCAGCAACTCCGCAGGACGCTCTGCCTGCTCCGCATTTGGCGGCTGCCGTCTCACCGCCAATGAACCCCGCAGGTAAGAGAACGTTTTATGCAACCGTGCCGAAAGCCATTCACGATAAAGTAGTAACTGGCCAATTTGTTGAATTGGGCTCATTGTTGCCTAACCCGTCCCAAGGGGACACCAGCCGCAGCATTCTCCAGATCGACCACGACAGCTCGCAAGGCGCAGTGGTCCTAGCACCGGCCAACAGGCCCTCCAGGAAGGTCGAGGACATCGATACCTGGCTCGACGCCTGGACAACATACTGCGCGATTTACGCCACAGCACACCCCTCCAGGGCCCCAGAGCTGTTTGCGTACCAGCAGATTATCCTGAAAGTAGCCCGGAAATTTCGATTTGAGGCCGTGCAGGAGTATGACCGATCATTCCGCTCACTCCTGGCCGCGGACCCAACCATGCGGTGGGACGCAATAGTCCAGGACCTATACACAATTATATTTGACGCGCGGGCATTTCGTCCCTTTCGGCCCACCGTCAGCAATGACGCTCGTTCCTTTCGGCCCAACAGCAGCAACGACGCTCGTTCCTTTCGGCCCAGCAGCGGCAACGACACGGTCGACAAAGAAGTATGCCGCCTCTTCAACCAAGGAAAGTGCGCCCGCTAGTAGGAAGGGACGAGCGGGTTCTGGGACAGGGGGCGCCCGGGTCCCAAAAAATGGGGTATTATTGAAAAATGGGGTACTAATAGTACCCCATTTTTGCGGTGAAAATTATTTTTGGCCCGGTTTTTTTGCGGATAAAAATATGTGCCAGGGGGTGCCCTGACCCCAAAAAATGGGGTATTATTGAAAATATGTGTTGTGCACATGTGGGTTTGAATCTCACTTTTTTGGGCCACCTTGCCCCGGATGGGAGTGGGTATAAAAAGTAGAATGTTGAATATGGTGTTTATCATGAAGTTTTTTCCGTGACCTACCCCACCTCCCCATGCAATTTTTCAAAAATGGTCCTGCTCGCACACACGTCAGAAAGGTCAGTTCTTGATAGATACGATACATGTCATTACAAAGAATAATGGAACGAACAGTGAATATCGCAATGGAGTGGAGGAGAAAGGTAGTACAATTCAGTTCTTGTTGTCCTGATTTCATCAAGCTGGTATTGGATGAGAGACCACAAAGTTTACTCTTCGAATACGTGTGAGGATGGATTCACCCATGATCTCTTCCGTGACACGCAGTACGAGGTGGAGTTGTCGGACGCTCTGATGTGCACCAATGGTTCCACCCAGTCAGCAATGGAACTGTCAGTCGACGACCTCCTTTGCACCGCCATCGTGTCAACAGTCGACTCGGGTAATTTGGAGATGAATCCATCGTCGCCGATGTCGATCGTACCAACTCGCACACGAATCCGCGTTACTCTTGTTGCAACGGCACGGAGTTGAACGGCCTTGGTACTACGTCGTACACGCACACGATCAACTCGAGAGACTTCATTTTTCGTTCACCTCCTTGACAAGTTGCATTACGTCGCTGGAATCCAAATAGGTTGCATCAGCGAAGAGGTCGATGATGTGTTGAGAGCACGGTTCGTCACGCATGTCACTAAGCTTGTAGAATGAGTGTCTACCATCAGTCCACCTTCGCAGTATGACACCATCATCAGTCTCACTAATAGTTCCGTAGTCCTCCACACCACCGATGACGATTTTAGGAAGGTGCTGTTTCCTATTCTTCACATTCAAGATCAGGCTGGTGACCCTGCAGATAATATACTCAGCAGCAGTGAGTGGTGACATATCGAATCTTCTGGGATGTGCTATCATCGGGTCAAGATCCCTGGTTGTCTTGCTAGCACTGAGGCGACGGATTGAGAACTCTTCATTATCGCATGAAAATAAATACCATTTCTCTGCTCTGCACGTCTCAGAAAATGTCCACGCCATTTTAGCTTCTTCACACTGCAAGAAGGAGTCGATAATGAAACTGCAGGTTGAGACTACTTCACCTCGAGGTCAAAGTTCACGCCGCGATGACCTTTGTAAACAAGGCTACGTCTAGACGTCTCAAACAAGACCAAGGGGTCACGCCACGGGGAGGTGACGACCTTGGAGAACACGATGTGTTTCGAAAGCGGAAAGACGCCCCCGTCATGGTGAGTCTTTTTTTTGTTCGGGTTTGGAATCTTTCGACTATGATATCAGATTGAGATGTGAATGCCTTTCTTCTATTGAAAGGTCGATGAGACGGAGGATTTTTCTAGCTTTCTGCTCATATAATTCTTACTCTCATAGTACTTGATTTTCATATATTTTCAGGGGTGGAAATACGTAAGGCACACGGACCATGGATGCGCACATCATGGAGTGTGCATTGACGTCACAGTGGATTGTAGGATGCATCATGTACCACACAAACACACACACACACATGCACATAATATACATACACTGTGCAATGACATCACAGCGAACTGCACGATCGGTGGATGCTATACATATACGGAATTCCGTGGTCTCTTCTCATACAGAGATGGTAGAGAGGAATTCAAAAGGAATCTTGGAAAGAGGACTCAACTGTCAATAGAGCGATATTCCCCGCTCGGAGCACGAATATTCCCCGGGTCTTGCGACAGAGTAAATAAGGGAGATGTTAGTGCTGATCACGCTCTATTTGGGATAGTACATGGGATAAATGGATTATACCATTCGTACTCTGTGCATACCGTACCCATTATATTTTCAATCGTGCTGACGCACTCATGAAAATATCTAGCGGTGTACCCCTCGTACCAAGAGTACATGTACTCTTGCTCGTACTCGTGGGATAATCGATACATGTCTTAGTGCTGATCGCGCTCTATTTGGAATAGTACATGGGATAACTGGATTATACCATTCGTACTCTGTACATACCGTATCCCTTATATTTTTCGTCGTGCTAACGCACTCGTGAAAGTGTCCAGCAGTATACCCCTCATACTCATGCGATAATTCTCATGAACGCCATCAGCTTGTACATAGCACTCAATCATTTATTTTTTATTTTTCAATATGAATGACATTGTGAATCATGACCGAAGACTGTTCACATCCTTCTTTGTGAGCCAGGTATTGAATTTATTATCTGTGTAGCCTTTCCATTGCACAAGACGTTGATCCTTGTTGTATTTTAACACCTTGTCGAATCTCAAACCGGTCTCTCTGGCGTGTTGCAGTTCTGCTTCGTAAAACGATCCGATGATGTGTTCTCCCATCAGATCACGAATCCTGTAGGTGTGTGGTGATGTTGATAGGATTTCATCCACCTCGAATACTTCCTCCGTCCAGTTCGCAGTGTAGCCCTTCTCGAAATGACGCTTAGATACGGTTAGGCGCACCTCGTCACCCACTTTGAACTTGGGTTTTGACTGCAGGGGGTCTTGTTGATCTGCATCTTTTGGTATTCTACCGTTCGATGCTTCGTGAGGTGTCATCCCAATGCTTCTATGCTTTGACTGGTTGTAGCGGTCTAGTAGATGAGGTAGGACATTGAGGTACGTGTTCGTGGATTTCTCTGTAAAGTGACGCCACATTCTTGCCTTCAACGTTCTATTGAAGCGCTCGACCACCACCGCTTTACCCTCGTTATGGGTGCTGTACATGATGACGTTGTGTTGTGATAACCATCGTTTCATGGGGGCATTGTAGAATTCCTTGCCTTCGTCTACCCAGAGTTTTAGCGGTGTCCTTCCGGATGTACTGACAATCTTATCGAACGCATCTCTCACGGCGGTACCCGTCTTCGATTTCAAAGGCATTGCCCAGGCATAGCGGCTGTATAAGTCGATGACTGTTAGCAGGAATTTGATGTTCTTATTGCTTCGGGCAAACCGTTGCATATCCACGAGATCTGCACTCCATATATGGTCAATTGCTCTGCTCTTCACCTTGCGTCTTTTGAAATGCACTCGTCTGGGCTTGTGCAATTCGTTAGCCAGTTTCGTATGGAACTGTGCGGGTTCTGTCTTCTTCTTCCGTCTTCCATCCTGAATTGCCTTTTGCACTTTGTTGTCCCAAAAGGCTCCAGCACCTTCCAGGGCACCTGAACTGAGAACCAGTTGATCGTTTTCCAGCTTTTCGTCATCATCAAAGACTCTTCGGAAAATTCGAAGTGCTTCATCCAGACCATATTTGGAAAATAGCTTTCCCATCAATATGGCATACCATCCACATACTGCTGTGCTTCTGTCTTGAACGGCTTGGGTGTTGGTGATGATCTTACAGTCTGCGTAGGCTTCTTTAAAGAAATCGCACAGTGCAGGTTCAGTGTAATCTTGCTCCATAGTGTATAGACTGCGTCCGAAACTGTCAAAAACCAGGATCACGTTTTGCTCGCGACACACGGTCAACCAATGATGTCCGCCTTCCGTTGCATCGTACACCGGTAGAACGTTGTCGGTGTTGACGATACAAAAGTCTCCATTGTTCAAGGGTGGCAAGAGGTCGTAACTCGTGCAGCCCACGAACCCTCCGACACCATTCAATCTTCCTTTGATATCGGCACTGCTGAGAGGATAGTCCATTCTTGATCATAGCCTGAAAATATTTGGCACGTGATCACATGGAGCGTCCGCTCAGGATATCCTTGATGATACGAGTGATCCTGCTTTTGTCCTTCAGCACCTGTTGAATGAATGATGCATCGTCCACCATCACCTTTTGTGCTCTGATCATGAAATGCTCGGGATGGATCAATTTTGCTTCTGTTGTTCTACCATAGGTGGAAGTCATATCGTTGAGATCTTGAAACTTGAGCTGTGATCCCGGTATAGCTATCACAAGGGTGGTTAGTTCCTGAATCTTTCGTTCTGATCGAAGGAACCCATCGACGTGTTTGTTGATTCCCATGGCACCTGCTATGGCTGCAAACGGGTACCTGGACATGTAGATGCGATTCGTCTCGTTGACCAGAGTAGTGTAGTCGTTCATCGTCTGCGTCTTCAGGGCATCCGCAGCCGCTTCCACCCGACTCCTGAACCTCAGTCGATCTTCATCGTAGAGTTGCAGCAGTTGTGATCGGCTTGTGAAATAGTTGCTCTTCAAAAAGGTTACCGGTATATTTGTATGCCGGAGGAAACTGTCCAGGATTTGCAGGATCCATCGGTCAAATTCATGATCTTGTAGTAGATTGAAAGGCACCGATGTTAAAGGTGCCTTTCTCTTCTTCCTGACATCTGAAACGGAATCGCGAACTTGATCGGTAGTGGAATCATAGTTGAGTATGTTGGATGCAATCACATTTCTCACAGACGGGTAACTGATGTGATCGGGATTGTTTTTGAAGTGGGTGTCATATAGACGCTTTACTCGCGGATCGGCTTGCAGTTCCAACAGGGTGGAGGTGCTCAAACTGTGATCTGGTACTTGGGAAAGAACTTTCTTAACGCTTTTCAAGTATGCATTGTAGTTATTACCTCCTTTTTGCCGCATGAGTGGTGGTATACCGAGAACTTCCCACGAATTTGCTCTCTTCTTAATGATGTGTTGAGGATGTTTCGTCATAAACTGCAAGGTTTGCAACCTTTTACGCTTGGGTATCGAGAAGGATCCCTTTCTGAGTCCCACTCTTTGTATACTACTCGGTAGCCCATTTGAGAATTTCACCGTAAGATGCTCCATTCTTATTCATGATTGGAATTTTTTTTCAATGTTGCGGCTAACTTTTCGGCTAACTTTTCGGCTAACTTTTCGGCTAACTTTTCGGCTAACTTTTCGGCTAACTTTTCGGCTAACTTTTCGGCTAACTTTTCGGCTAACTTTTCGGTTAACTCTTCGACTAATATCGTACACACACACACACACACACATCAACGAGGTTTTTATTCAAAAGTCACCTTTAATGCAGTGTCTTCGCAATACGTGTAGTACTGATTAGAAGAGCAATCAATGGTTAGGATAGGTCTGCGACACACCGCCAATAACTTCTCATACAATCTAAAGATAATGGATGACTTCGTGCACAGACCACCAAACAGAGTATTGAGATAACGCTTGATATTGCTTTTATCAGTGAAGCGAAATAGATACATAAAGTTTGCATTGATCTTCATGTCTTTAATGTTATCAAAGCTCTGAGAGAGAAAGAACACGTTCAACTTATGATGATGACTGTACATGGTGAAGAACTTGTAGAGACACTCTCTTTGACTGCCGTGCTTCAAACCCATCACTCTGATGTCATCAATGATCACATAGGTGTTAGGCTGGAGATCCATGTCTTCGATACACTCGGGCATGGTGCTGTAATGCTTGAAGGATTTGAGGCTTGGGAGACGATACTGATCGGCCGGCGTGTTGGAGATGACAACTATACGCTCAGGTTGCACGCGTTTCAGGAGCTTGATGAGAAAGTAGGATTTACCCATGTTGCTCTGTCCCAGAAACAATACGTTTTGACCCCAGGATTTCAGAGCAGGAATGATTTCCGTGAACCAATCCTTAGACTCGAACTGAAGACCAGGAATGTGCAGCCCGTGTCGAGCAGTGGCCGTGGTCGGAACATCGTCGTTCCTTACGGGACTAGTCTTTTTCTTCCTCCCGATTTCCTGTCCAAGGAGCGAGATAAAGTCCATGATCAGATGTTGTAGGATGGACCGATGTGAGCGGAACTCATAGAAGACGGTCCTGCACTGTTAATGTTCTGTCGAATTTTTTGAGCAAATGGAGTTTCAGGACGGGTTAGGGATCTACGAGGTGCAGACAGGAACGATGAAGCTTCGTCGAGGGCACGATGTCCTAGTTTTTTGAACAAGGCCCTTCCTTGTTTCTTTATTCCTCGTGCCCTGCGGCCTTTGGAGCGAACTTGACGAGCTGGCTTCTTGGTTTTTCGAGATGCTCGTTGACGAATCTTCTTCGGTGCATGCCGACGACGACGACTTTTAGTGCGCTTCATGGCACCTGCTGAGCTTCCCTTCCTTACTCCTCTGCCGAATATTTTATCCATTACGTTGTCACCCAGTGATGCCATGGTACCCATGGCCAAGGGAGCAGCCAGATTCGTCAGGAGTGGTATGGCCTTGGCGGCTAATCCTGGTGGAATGGCTAGACCTCCTCGGTGCATGGCAGGGTTGTAAGCTGTTTTCATTTGCGCTTCCACAATGTCTCCGGACTCTCCTCTCCCCAAAAGCATGGGAAGAAGTGTCATTCCTGCCATGGCAGCCAGGGGTCCAAGTCCACCGCGTTGCATTGCATCTTGTTTTGTCGTGGGTTCCGCCATCTGCTTTTCCATCTCATCCGGTCCAGCACCGATTAGGTTTTTCCAGAAGCTCTTTTTCCAGAAGAATCCACCGTGTTGTCGACTCGATGTTTTCAAATCACCACCGTAGACACGATGTCTGGTCTCCAGGTCACCACCTTCCATGATGCCCTTTTACTACTAGGTCGGAATTAATTCATACAACTTCGGCTTTGATACCTTCATCTTTGCTCATGGTGTACAAGTACTTGTCCATGCAGAGAAGGTTGACTTTGATCGAGGCGCCATTTTCGCTAGGTCTCCTCACGGGGGCGTTTGTCACGTCGCTAAATTGATAGTCGATGGACAGATTTCCTCTCGATCTTGGATTGTCTGTGGTCCGATCCAGATTCAAGTTGATAGGCACCATAAAGTAGTGATTGCAGTAATCTGCAGCGGTGATGGGGATTTGCGTTCCATACGTCTTGCCGAAAAAGTCTTGAACCAGATTGTAGCCACGCAGGTAGGAGGATTTGTTGTAATCGTAGAAGTATTGCCCTTCAGTATTACGACTCACATCCCACTGGAACTTGAGCGGGTTGTCAAAGAGCGTCTGGTCGTTGACAGTGACACGAAGTTGACTGAGATTTGCATGAATCATGGCCAGTCTGTTCGAAGAATGCGATGCTTGACCTCCAGCCAATGCTGGCTGTGTACCATGAGTCAAATCTGTGAAGAACAGGATCATCCTGCGTGGAATGTCCGCATTGTGAAGCAGTTCCAGTGTACCAGCATCATCTGAAATGCTCTTTTGTATGAGACGAGGGCACCACGTGTGGAAATAGAGTTGTTTGGGAAGGCGTACACGATCGGTGAGATTGGGTTCCATGCGATAGGTAGTGTACACAAAGTCCAATTGGAGTAGATCGATCTCAATATCACCGACGCTCAGAGCACTGTTGGCACCACCGCCTTGATCGCTAAGCATGATGTATCTGGAAAGCTCGGATTGTGGCAGATCAAAGCGAAGCTTCACCTGTGTACCCGGGGGTAACCAAGCATCGTCCTGATTGAAAAACGGTAGGAAGGGTCTCAGCTTGTACTGAAACCGTCCAACAGCTGCACGAAGTGCATTTTCCTGAACCGTGTTGGAGAAGCCTTCGTTGGTGACAAGCTCGACGGTGGGTGCACGCTTGGGTGTGAAATTAGCGGCGAAATCCGGTGCTTGTGCTGCATTAGCGTTTGCAGCGTTTGTTTCGAAGGCATAGCCATGCTTACGCTTCACACCAAGTTGATAGGGCGTTAAATCCACACCTCTCAATGCTCTTTGCGGATCCAGTTTCTGTAGACCGTAGAGATCCGAGTCCACGTACTGAAGGCGTTCGCTGCTGCTTTCCATTAGACTGAGGATGTGCTGAACCATTTGCATGTCGGCAACTTTACTCGATTGCGTGACCTCTGTTCCGTTGATCTCCACTCGAATGTTCTTGAACCACGAAAAGGCTGGTGACGTGGTGCACACCCATCGCGTGTAGTCTCCAGGCTGGTTATTGAGATTGTTTTTGACACTATAGCGCATTTTCACGATGAAATAGCTCTCCCCCAGAGCAATGAAATTCGGCGACGAGATGTCTAGTTCATTGTTCAGGGATGGTGGTGATCGATCTGCTGTGGAAAAGAGTCGTACTCCGCGTCTACCCTCAAGCAACGAGAGTTTCTTCTCCGTCCTGTCGAGGATGTTCTTCGTAACTTATGACACGTAACTTATGACACACTTTGTACCCAAGAGATCCGTCATGCTCGACACAGGTTTATCCAAAGCCGCCGATAATTGGCTGACTACAGACGAAACGGGTATGTTGAATGATGAATGGCCGGGACGCGTGAAGTAGTTGCCACTTATGTGGGTGGCAGTGAACAACACGTACAAACTATCCAAGCTGAAATTTCCGACAGTATCGATATCGAATGCCTTCAATGACATGTTTCTAGGGTCAGGTGCGTCCACTTGAATTACTTGGAACATTGTAAAAGACATGTTGTCGTGAAACAGATTGACGAATCGTTCTCTAATGGAAACTTGGCTGGGTTGTGTAATGTTGAGGTAGAAGTGATCGTCTCGGAACATGTCGATGCTGTTCACGTTGATTCTCTTGTCCTTCATGTCAACGATATTTCCCCCTCTGTATCTGTTTCTGCTCACCCTGGTGACGGATTCAAATCTGCTAGGATGAGAGTATATGTAGAGGTAGACGTTTCTCCGAATGAGAGGTAGTAGATGAAACGGATCGGATAGGTTCTGATTTGATTGCGGACCCACGGGACCTCTGGCTCCTGGAGGACCTATGGGGCCGACGATTCCTTGGGGGCCCACGGGACCTCTGTTTCCTGGAGGACCGGTTGCACCGATGGTTCCTTGGGGACCGACGGGACCTGTGGTTCCTTGATCACCTTGAACACCACGTTCACCTTGTGAGCCGTCTTGTCCATCTTCTCCTCTAGGCCCAATCTCACCTTCAGGACCAAATAATCCACGTTCTCCACGTGGTCCAACTTTACCTCTGGGACCTTCTGGACCAGGTATTCCTTGATCGCCTTTTTGACCGCGTTCACCACCTTGTCCATCGCCTCCTCTAGGTCCAGTCTCACCTTCAGGACCGATCAATCCACGTTCCCCACGTGGACCAGCTTCACCTCTTGGTCCACGAAGCCGACCGAAAGCCATCCATTTCGAGCTGATTTTCTTGTACACGATCAGCGTGGCTGCATCGAGGTAGAAGTCACCATTTCTCCCTACAGAGTTCAGCGGCATGCCACCTCCACTAAGCCATCCCAATCCCCGATCACCACGAGGACCTTTCATCTTGCGCACAGCGTCGATGTCGTGTTGCAATCTCGATGAGGATTGACGGATTTCATTCTTGACCCAACCGGCAGGGACAGCACATGTCAAAGAGCTATCGTCGTACGCCAAATTACAGATTGAATGTTCGTTCATGTCGAGGTTAGCATCCATGGACACGGATCCGTCTGTTCTAACGTGCAGCTCATCAGTTGCTATGGCTTGATCTGTGTAGCGCGTAGATCTGTTTTCCACATCTTCCACTTTGCTCTCATCGGCTTTCTCCTCTTTCAGTTTCTCCACATCATGAACCAAGGTGTTTTCGGTGTCTTCGTTCCCCACAACCGATTGCATCTCGATAATGTCATTCCGCATGCTTTGCATGTGTTTGAGGGAGGCCTCATCACCATCACTCCTATGGAAATGCGTAGCCCAGTACGCCATCTTCACACACACACACACACACACACACTGTACTAATTATGAAAGGAAATATTTTCTTTCTCAAATAAATCTTTATGATGCTCATAAGAACAGGTAAACAACAGGTAATGCACAACAAACAAGAGCCACAGTCATCGTGTTGATGAGTCGACCGTTCATCCTCCTCCTCGATTGTTCATGAATGTGTTTCATGAGGAAATCTCGTGCTAACAACACCTTCGCACGATCGCCTTTCCGTGCCAGCATGTCCAACAGAGTGACTGAATATGCCAAGGTCATCTCCAGGGCAACGACGTCGTTTGACGCATGACTCCATAAACCTTCCATGATGCCGCATATGCAACTTTCAAGTCGTTCAGCTTGTTCACGATCACCATCGCCAACAGTAAAGCTCGCAGCATACCTGAGAATGTCAGGTCTCTTCATAGCGACATGTTTAGCAGATGTCCACACGTGAAACAATGTCGAATCACGAACGAACAAATGGTCAATGGCAAAGGCATGACGAGTCTCCGAGCATTCACCTTCATCCTTTGCGTATGTTGCAAGAACATGGTCAGCAACTCGTACTAGCAGATGACACACCTGACATTCGTGAGTCTTGTGATCAGCCGATCCGTTAAGACTCTTTGCAACGTGAAACCATCTCTCGTAAAGGGAATTCATTTCCTAGAATGCGAAGACACGAGGCAACTGATCAATACTGTATCGGGTGAAGGAATGACTCGACTGCATGTCAAGCATGCATATTTATACAAGTCAGAATGGGGTGGGTTGAAAATGCAAAGTTGTCAACCAATCACCATCAAGCCCGCCAAAAACAGATGATGTAACCTTGACATGATTGATCTTGTCATGAATGACGCATTCATTGATGGTGTTCACATGAGATCACCCTGGTTCATCTTTCCCAATTCCATTCTTTTCACATCCTGCAACCCATTCTCCACTAGTAGTAGCAGTGGGGATACTAGAGTCCGAAGAGGCAAGGCAGCACTCTTCCGTGGACGTACTACTCGACACAACACCACCCATACTTGTTCTTTAGAAGTTTTTTTTTTTTTTAATTTGTATCATGAGGTATTGACGTAGAAAGTAGTATAGGATAGTATAGGATAGAATAAGAATGAATGATCAGCTGTATGATAAAGAAGGCAGTTCATTAAAGACTTCTTGGAAGGTCTCTACCAGCTGATCGTCTTGTTGGACGACGACACTGCATAATGATGTGAAGCTCTCAGTCAGCTGTTTCAGCTCCGTGATAGAAAGTGCCATGTGTGCGTCCAGAGCACGATGAAAACATCTGGGTTCCACGTTGATGCAGATGATTGGAGCAACAGCAAGACGTACCTTCATCACTTGCTCGTCAGTGTCGAGGGAGACTGCCCCGGGGTAGATGAATACATCTTGTTCCACATCCAGTTCAAACGAGCTGGTCGGGACTAGCTTGTTTTCACCGTTGATGTACACCCGACATTGACCGTCGGACGAACGTGATGTATAGAAGTTGGTTATGATCTTCTCCACACGTCCACTTCGGAGAGTGTCACGGAGCGATGGACAAGTCTTGATCAAGTTCGTAATGATGAACTCAGTGGACTCGTTCAGTTCGATGTAAACTTGTCCTTGAGCATCTTTGCGAGCTGTTGCCGTACTACCACAGGCTGGCAGAGCTCCCGAAGGGAAGTACATCTTATATCCAGGCTTGTAGAAGGATTTACCAGATAACTTGTAGGGCAGCTGCATGTCCTCCTGAAAACCATCCACCACAATCTCTTTGTGGAGCTTGGTAGGGGCAGGTGATGCATAGCGACGCTTAGCCGGTACTGGCTTCGAAGAGAGCACAACTCGAGGAGGGTCAGCAGGAAGAGCGGAATTCTTCTTCATCCTTCGCTCGTATAGGGAAGCCATCTTCTAGGAAGTGAAGTCAGGACAACTCGTCAGCACTGTATTCGATGAACGAATGACTCAACTGCAGACAATCATTCGTATTTAAACGAGCCAGAGAGGTATGTGGATTGAAATGATAAGATATGTGTCAACCAATCAAGCCCGCCAAAAACATTTCACCAATCAGCATCAAGCCCGCCAAAAACATTTGACCAATCAGCATCGTGCCCGCCAAAATCATATCTCATTATAAAGATTCCTTACATGATACCGCCACCTTGGTGAATTGATACAGTATGGAAAGAAGATCACAGTCAAACGTGTGCATGTTCTGGATCACGTGATCAAGTGAATAGATTTCCCAGCAATAAGCATCAATTAATGATGTCATAAGAGATATATCAGATTGAGATAAAAGCAGCAAATTCGAACGCAACGTGGACAATTGCAATGAAGACACCATCCTAGTCGACTCCATGAGATGCAGTACGTATAGGAGTGGAAAATGCTGAGGAAGAGGTTTCATGATTCGACTGAACCTCAACCAGGCTACATTGCTATGAGGTAAGTAGGAATACAGTTTACGTAATGCATCCACATTCGTATCGTATACTATACAGGATAATGCTATAGCATAATTTATACTCTTGTACAAACAGGACTTCTTCATGGCACGTATCTGCTCTCGAAGAGGGTGTACACGAAGCTGATCGGATAAGAGTTCAGTTTTCGAAAGAAAATGCAAAAGATGACGATCCACACCACATAACCGCTCATGCGCAGCGTAAGGCTTCTTCATCAAACTACATCTCTGATGCACATCAACTTCAGGTAAGTAAACCACATCCATGACAAGTCCACAAGAAGAACATACGTATCTTCCTTCATGAACAACATGATTAAGATGATGACACTGCTTTTCCTTCCCTTCTTGCTCTTCTTCTTCTTCTCCTCCTTCTTGTTCTTCTTCTTCTTCTTGTTCTTCTTCTTCTTCACGAAGTCTCTTTTCACGTACATAGGCACGTAAGATCTCTAATTCAGAATCCATCTTCACCCCACACCATCATCTTCATAGTGAAACATTATCCATCAATATATCTACTTTTATACCCACTCCTATCCGGGGATAATAGCAAAATACTCCTGAAAAAATAAATAAAAAATGAACAGAATAAAGATTAACAATGATGATAAGTGTGCCTTATTCAACCCAAAGGTCAAAGGTCAAACCCTGGGGGAGTCCCGGGGTCAGACCAAGCACGACCGACACAGTGTGCCTTATTTGGCCCAAAGGTCAAAGCAATAGAAGAAAGGCATTCACATCTCAATCTGATATCATAGTCGAAAGATTCCAAACCCGAACAAAAAAAAGACTCACCATGACGGGGGCGTCTTTCCGCTTTCGAAACACATCGTGTTCTCCAAGGTCGTCACCTCCCCGTGGCGTGACCCCTTGGTCTTGTTTGAGACGTCTAGACGTAGCCTTGTTTACAAAGGTCATCGCGGCGTGAACTTTGACCTCGAGGTGAAGTAGTCTCAACCTGCAGTTTCATTATCGACTCCTTCTTGCAGTGTGAAGAAGCTAAAATGGCGTGGACATTTTCTGAGACGTGCAGAGCAGAGAAATGGTATTTATTTTCATGCGATAATGAAGAGTTCTCAATCCGTCGCCTCAGTGCTAGCAAGACAACCAGGGATCTTGACCCGATGATAGCACATCCCAGAAGATTCGATATGTCACCACTCACTGCTGCTGAGTATATTATCTGCAGGGTCACCAGCCTGATCTTGAATGTGAAGAATAGGAAACAGCACCTTCCTAAAATCGTCATCGGTGGTGTGGAGGACTACGGAACTATTAGTGAGACTGATGATGGTGTCATACTGCGAAGGTGGACTGATGGTAGACACTCATTCTACAAGCTTAGTGACATGCGTGACGAACCGTGCTCTCAACACATCATCGACCTCTTCGCTGATGCAACCTATTTGGATTCCAGCGACGTAATGCAACTTGTCAAGGAGGTGAACGAAAAATGAAGTCTCTCGAGTTGATCGTGTGCGTGTACGACGTAGTACCAAGGCCGTTCAACTCCGTGCCGTTGCAACAAGAGTAACGCGGATTCGTGTGCGAGTTGGTACGATCGACATCGGCGACGATGGATTCATCTCCAAATTACCCGAGTCGACTGTTGACACGATGGCGGTGCAAAGGAGGTCGTCGACTGACAGTTCCATTGCTGACTGGGTGGAACCATTGGTGCACATCAGAGCGTCCGACAACTCCACCTCGTACTGCGTGTCACGGAAGAGATCATGGGTGAATCCATCCTCACACGTATTCGAAGAGTAAACTTTGTGGTCTCTCATCCAATACCAGCTTGATGAAATCAGGACAACAAGAACTGAATTGTACTACCTTTCTCCTCCACTCCATTGCGATATTCACTGTTCGTTCCATTATTCTTTGTAATGACATGTATCGTATCTATCAAGAACTGACCTTTCTGACGTGTGTGCGAGCAGGACCATTTTTGAAAAATTGCATGGGGAGGTGGGGTAGGTCACGGAAAAAACTTCATGATACACACCATATTCAACATTCTACTTTTTATACCCACTCCCATCCGGGGCAAGGTGGCCCAAAAAAGTGAGATTCAAACCCACATGTGCACAACACATATTTTCAATAATACCCCATTTTTTGGGGTCAGGGCACCCCCTGGCACATATTTTTATCCGCAAAAAAAACCGGGCCAAAAATAATTTTCACCGCAAAAATGGGGTACTATTAGTACCCCATTTTCAATAATACCCCATTTTTTGGGACCCGGGCGCCCCCTGTCCCAGAACCCGCTCGTCCCTTCCTACTATCAAGGGCATGGAAATTTAGAACGGCATACAAATGGAAATTTGGAACGGCATACAAATGGAAATTTGGAACGGCATACAAATGGAAATTTGGAACGGCATACGAATGGAAATTTGGAACGGCATACGAATGGAAATTTGGAACGGCATACAAATGGAAATTTGGAACGGCATACAAATGGAAATTTGGAACGGCATACAAATGGAAATTTGGAACGGCATACAAATGGAAATTTGGA